ACAGTTTCTTTAGAAACTTACCCCCTTTATTTATCTGCGATGCTGCCTCGATGCATAGCCATGTTGGGCTAATAGGAAAATTATCAACTGAAATGATAATGCAAACTGGCAACCTTAAAGGGTTTTCAAAGCTGACGTCTCAATCGCTAGCCCTGGGTCAGAATGAAGGGCTAACTCTTTAGAAACTTTTTTGGATGGTGGCTACGAATTTTATATCCTTGAAAAAGCTGAGTTTGAGCCAATAGGACGAGTGCTTACAGGTGAGTTCGGCTTCAGTTTCGCTGAAAAATGTAGGTACATGCTCCTGTGAGAAAGATGTAAAAAATCATATAGGAAAGGACGAAAACTACACTGTTATGATTGATAAGCAAGAACAAATCTAGGGAGAGAGGACAGACTGAAATGCAGCCGAGGCTATCAGATAGGAATCGCTAGCCCTGAAACCGGTGAGCTGACAGGGCTGCGCTAGTTGATCAATTACCTTTAAAACTGGAGGAATGGGCGGCAGTTTTCCAGATAAAGCCCACACTTTGGTTTCTACAAGACAAAATTAAAACAAACAAAACAAAACAAAAACGAGGAGATTCGCAACTATTATTTAAAATATGAAACGCCATGCATGCACCGAGAGCAATAAATAGGATTGATAATTAATCAATAGAGATGGATTAACTAAATTTTTCATTGCTATTTTTTGTCTGTTTTGTTTTTCATTCCAGGCTTCCTGTTAGAGATAGTCAAGAAAGCAATTTGGAAAGATCATCGTTCTGAATTCTTAAATACGTCTCTATGTTTTTCATACCGTCGGTTAAAAAAACTATTTGGAAAAAGAAACCGGTTGAATTTTCACCAAAATTAGGAGATATGTATGACAATATGTAATCACACGGATAAATATAAGAAAAATAGGAACCAGTTGTAAACAAATATTAAAGGGAAAATATAAGGTTGACACTCGCTGAATTTTTTATGCAGAAGTATACTGGGCTTTTTTGAGTTGATATGATTAGCTTTCTTGAGTTTAAGCTAGAATTTTATGGAGCAGAACGCATAATTTTGATATAATCTGCAAAGCAGGATATTTGATCAGCTTTAATTGTAAATGTTTGAAATTTGTTTTCATTTTTTCTTGCTTCCTTTCTTTCCTTCATTGCTTTCACTCTCTCTTTCTTTCTTCCTTTTTTATTTCCCTTCTATTTTGGAGAGAACTTACCACCAGCAGGTAAGCTGCACAAGTATGGGTGCCTATCGCATAAATTGTCGTACCAGCCCTGAATTACAACCTTGCCATCTGAGACCGCTTCGTATTGTACGGATGCTTCAAGAACATCTACCGCTATTAGAAGCAAGCACTAGTTAGAACGCGGCACAGATCCTAGTGTAATGAATGAAAGAGTAATATCTGCGGTGCATCAAGGGGAGTTGGAAAGGGAAGATTTCAGTGGAAATCGGCAAGTTGACACAGCAATCGTTAAAAAGTTTGATTAAAACGGAAAATAGAAAATTATTTGCGATTAGGGTTAACAACTTTACGCATTGCAGGATACATAATTGACAATCATTTTAGTATACCTCGGTGTTATACACTGACTTGAAATCTCATTTCCCGAGGCCTTTAGTTTCGAAGATTTGGAGAACCTCTTACTTGCAATCGCACTCAGCGTTCTCTCGTAACCTTGATTCTCAAATCCTGGATATTTTATAACACACACCTTCGGTCAAATTGATGAGAAAGGGGTTAAATGTTTGGCTTGGTCCTTAAGCAAAGCAGGATGTATATTATTTTGATCTCGATTGTGGAAAGTCTGATTTCCCAAATGGAATAAAACCTTGGACCGTTGGATTCCGTCGTCCAGTGCTCTACGAAAAAAACTCCGTGGTGGATTATACCCCACACTAGGTTCAAACAAGACATTGATATACGTTTTGCAATTTGTCTTGCCAGCTACAAGGATTTGCAATTTTGGAAGCCTCGCGTATGTATTCATATCGCCTAATCAAGGAGTTCTTAATCCGTCCTGTGTTCTTTTATAATTCATTCACCTGTCAGTCAAAAAAATTGTAATTATGCCAAATGGATTTTCTGCAAGCCGTGAAATTTCATAACCCTTCCTCCTGGTTTTGCAACGATATTACTTCTAAAAGAAAGTTAACAAAAATATTAACACCTCCACGTCAACTTCGACTTACCAGGTGTAAATGTTATATTACCATCAACATAAATCCCAGCAGGAATGAAAGGCCATGGAGAAACTTTAAACAATGGAATCTTATCGTACTTTCCTGAAAAGAATGCAACAATGGAGCATCACCTTGGTTTACAAAAAATAATTTTTTTTCCAATTGAGTCTTTCACTAGTATTCGGTTGAATTTGGATTAGGATCCGCGGTCCAAATTCGTGAGCGGATATGAACCCCTCTACGCAGATTTGGACCCCTCTTTCATACTTTCCTTTTAGCATCGTTTGTATCATATTTGGTAACTAATTCAATTTGTAAACTTTTTGTCGATGTTCTTTTCAATCACAACATAACATTTCTCAGTAACGATAAAAATAAACAGCCATTTTGCTCTAGTTCTGCAACATTTATTATAGCAAGTCGTACAGTATACTCAAGAATTAAATGCGAAACTGCTGCATTTGAACCATTGAAATTGTTGCAATATATTCTTGCTTCTTCTGATGCGAATCAACATTGATACGAAACGTCATAACAGTTGTAGAGACTATTGCGTCTAGTCTAAGAAAAAAAACCCTGATTTTGACTCATCTCTGATAAGTCTGATTTTCTAATTAAATAACATTAAACAGTTTCTGAACAAGAATGAAGTAACTACTATTACTAAAAGTCGTTCGTAAAGCCTGTTTGGGCCGACTAGCGGCCAAGCACGAATTGCGGACTTATATAAGGTCACATGATCAGTAGCATATGTTCTAGTGCGAGAGTAATTTCGTTGACCTTGGGTGCTGTGTTCATTTTGATTGTTGAAGTTTTGTGCTTTTCCTACCCGTTTATCGCATAGAAATATGTAAGTACATGTGCCTCGTTTTGCAGTTTCGCTTTCGCCCAGTGAGTTGTAATTTAGGTTCTCGTTTTCAGTTTTTACCGTAGGTGTACGAAGATCAAGTCAAAACAACACGCAATGTCAAATGGTGAAAATGTTTAAATTTAAAAGAAGGTTTACTCCATCATGGAATGACTTGTATTGGTGCGGCTACGCGTAAAAGAGTTCTCTGTATATCGTCCCCAACAAAGCCTGTTTTAAGTTATTGTAAATCGACTCGACCGAACACTTACTAGACTAAAAAAATCTAAAAGGACTGTTATTTTAACTTATTTTTAATCATTAGGAATACAACAAGCGACACAAACACAACTGGATGCTAATTTTAGCGTGTGTTCTGGGCCTACGAACAATAAAAAAATCTCAGTGTAACAGTAATTGATGGAGCAACAGAATTTCAATGTGGAACACTAACAATGGATTCCCGATTTTTCGAGTCTCCATGTGAAATGAAAATCAGTTGGATCCGTTAGCCGATTTGGACCATGGGTCCGAATCTAGAGGGGTCTAAATCCGCTAGGACTCTGGAACATTCCTGCTACATTCTTCACATCTACTCTATCGGTAGCAAAATATCAACTCGCTTGATAAATAACCAAGCATATAATACAAGAAAGATGTCAATTTTGAGCATAGAAACGCTTCATGACAGTGGAAATTACGAACAACAAAATGCCGAAGGCGAAGAATCGCACACGGGTAGTGGGTGGTTGACTCAATGTTCGAACTTTCGGACATTGAGAAAGTAGTAAGTCAGTTGTTAAAAAGAAATTCGACAATTCCTTTTTCTAAAAGGGATTCCCAATTTTCATTTTCCGTGCCATTTCTGGTAACATTCTGTAATTTTTCCTAAAGAGTTTTTTAAGGTCAAATTTGAAAAGAGTAACTTACCGCAGGATGTCGCATTAATGATTTCAAGTCCCAAGCGATATCCCCGTGTTCCACTGATGACAAAAACTAACATGATCAGGGTGACAGTTTGTGT